CTTTACTCTTACCCACCTCTGTCTTGCCGATATGTTTTTTCTCCCTTTTCGTTTTCTCTATCTTTTCCTCCCTCTTCTTTGCATCTCTTCTTTCTCTCGCGATGCCTCTCGAGCTTACAATGGTTGGAGTAATATCCCTCGCGTATGTATACATACATACATACAATACGTCTGTATGTCTCTTGCGTATATGTATTACTACTCAGTAACAAGTGGGTATTATACCGGGGGTTGGTGAAGCCATTACTGTCCCGAACAGTCGCCTGTTCCGACTAACGGGATGACGCCGCGCCATCGATGGCTAGCACGGTTTATGCGTTGCACTAGTTACCCGTCCCTTATCCTTGGGCTTGCTATAGTTTTCCAGATTGTGGTTACGACGGGTTATCGCGTCGTACTATCACCGAACGTGAACTTTCTCTACTTACTTGAATTATATAATATATATATATATAGTTCAACTCTCACATTTAAACACACTGAGTACACTCATGACACGTTTGCGTTCGTAAGATCAATTAGGCAGATTACGTAGAGAGACAGAGAAAGAGAGAGATTGTACCAAACAGATATATTTTTAAAAGCTATATTTATGTTACCACAAAATTAATCTATTTTGAGATTTTTTCTAACGTTGGATTTTGTGTTATCACCTCATTTTGTTTTACCTCAAAAAGAGTACTTTTAAAATAGATTTAGCAATTAAAATATTAATTCATCTGTATAGTAAATTTTGTTAAATAAAAGTTTTTAACTCCTTTGTATCAAATTTTTAAATGCTAATGAAATATTTTGTTTACTTAACAATAAATATATATGCAACATTTGGGAGAGACAATGTAAAGTAATTTTAATAATATTCTCTCTCAGATATAAGCGATATTTATTTTTGAATGTTAGTTTCTTGCAAAAGAGAGAGAGAAACCGTATCATTATATGTATCCTTGATTAAAAATGGATCTCTAGTTGCCGCGAGCAAGTCTGTGCCTCCCATTTGTTTCCTTGACTACGAAACTTCCAGACAATTATCTGAAGTACGCTTCGCATTTTCCCAAAAAGCGGTAAAATCCTTGTCGGCGTCTTTTTTCGTGCGTTCACCGTAAAGGAGCGCAGCAAAGGAGGACTGAAGCAAAGGAGCGGCGTAAAGAGGGTAGAAAGGGGCAGAGGGGCTCGGTAATGACTGTCGCTACTTTTCCGCCGTGTCGGAAGCGCATTGCGCCATTTCCGTCAGACCGGAAGTGCGGTAACAAAGCGCTTCCGGCATGCGGTCTCAAGGAGGTTGTTACGACGAGCGCGGGAGCACTCGGTGACATTTCAATGAACTTTGCGGCGGGTACCGTTCTCCTAAAGTTCAGCGGGTTTAACGTAGTAACGTGCGTTTCGGGTGTTGACGAACCGGCGGTATTAAGTGTCCTATTGTGTGCCCTCGCGAGTGATATTAACTTGACTTCCAGGCAAGGCGGAATCGCGTCGTGTGTAGTCGAGCAAAATCGCGAACTATTAACCTCATTCTTATAACAAGAAGAGCATTCGTTAGTCGAACGTGCTGCAGTCGAATGCTTATAGAATCGAGCAGACTTCTTTCTAGGCTATATACGCGTTACACTCGATACAACGTATTACAGATCGCAAATTCTCGAGATTCATATTCAGATCTCTACTCAAAGCACGATAAATATGTAATTTATTTCATCGATTTTCTGAAATTACACGTTAGCAAGTAGATATGCGTAGATACGCGACATTAAGTGGCGTATCCACGCACGGACATAAGATAGAGCATCTCTTCTGTACCTATATTATATTTACGATAAGTTGCCGTATATCACGGAATCGCGCCAAACACATGCGAGTGGAAAATAATTTCCTGGCATAGTTTCCGATCTCGAAGCGTGCATTGGCACAACTTATTCAAATCTTTGCAACGCGAAGACGTGAAATAAAAGTGACGCCTGGGGAAAAGCTGGCGTTATTTTATGAAAATTACATCTCTCGTTTCATATCCACCTCCCAAAACGTTGGAGCCGTATATGTTGCACTTGTTACAGATATTACGTGTAACATACAACGCCAGTTGTGTTATTTCGAGCATCATGCATTCTCACATTAGCTTGTACGACCTGCAGAATAAATGTCATATATTACACTATATCCAGAAAGTTTGGAAATTTGAAAATATCAGTTTCAGAAACTTCGATTATGAAGTCATCAATTGGATCAAGTCGCGAGAGTTCGAATTATCCAATCTGTACTAAAATTGTCTTATTATTCATGACCTAGATTTTAAATTCAAGTTTCCTCTATCTTTAATAAATCAAATTTATTACTCTCTAACCTATTTATGAACATAAATGTTTAGTACAATGTTTATTGGGTTATTTTAAACGATACTATATTAAGGATTATTCGGTAGATCTTTAAGTCATAAGGTAAAGAGATATTGAACGATATCGGACTAATTTCATACCACAGTAAAAGAAATAAATTTAGAAAAATAAATTAAAGAACGAAAAATAATCATATATGGCATATACGGAATAAAAAATATATAGGTTACTGTCTCCGATATTAAATCGTCTTGATGCCCTGTCAAGTTATCTCCGCTTTATATTATTTTGTGAGAATATTTTATTTCTCACAGCCAAAGTTCCGAAGTTGGGATTCAAAATTTTGGCACTGAAACATTCTGCGTTTGTGATAGATGAGATTTAGTTGGAACTTCCAAGCAAGGTTGTCATACGCAACGTAAAAGTGACATTTGTCCTGATTTCAAGTCTGCACCAAAACGTTCTATTTCTCACAATTCAAAATCTGTTTTCCTCGATTTCTGGCAAATGTTTCTCAGTCCGAAATTGCCAGACACCTTCTCAGATTGTCGAAACGCGTGATTACCGACGGCATTCGCGAGTCGTAATTTCGACCACACGCGCATCGTAAATTATATCTCTTCGGGTTCTGCTACCCAAATAAAACGCTGAAAGGGTCAGTGAAGAGAGGTTTGAGTGAAGAAGTAAGGTATAGCAAGTGGTGCGCATGCGTTATAAAAATATATAAAATGCAATATATGGTAGACAGCAAAAGTGGCAAAAATAGTAGCAGAAAAGATACAGAGTACGGAGAATAGCAATGGAATGAGAGATGGGGGAGGGAGAAGAAGGAGAGAGAACGTGTCACCGGGAGAAGAGAAAGGGTACAATTAAAATTAGCGCAATTCAGTCACTCGCCGGTAATTCGCATGCCTGGCATTTATATTATTAAGTCGCGCAAATTTCTCTCGTCACTCTACCCTTATCACTTTTGTATGCGTGCACTCATACAACTATTCTGCCCTGCTTGCCCTATCCGCTATTCACGTTTGCCACGTTATGCTTTCCACGCGTTTTCTCGGTGGCGACCGAATGTTGCCATGATTATCGTCGCCGGCAAGGAAGTAATCCCAGGTTTCGAAGCGAATTACGTTTAATTACTCTTATTGCTAGGGTCAGTTGGCTTTATTATTCCCTCTTCAATCACGTCCTCTGAACGCGCCGTCATTTGACTTTTTAAGCTGTCCCTCCCGCCCTACGTTGACCCTGCCGACGCGTTTCCACATCCGTGCTTTTTCTATATGCGTGGCAAAAACATCGCATTCCAAATGAACGTGCGAGCACAGCTACGAGTAATTCTCGTTAACCCGCTATTTCACTCAGCCACGCCGTAGGCCGAAAGGATTGGTATTATATAAACGTCAACGTCAATTTGCTCGCAAATGCATGAACCATTTCAATTCTTTAAGAATACGAATGTTTACCGAAAATGACTCGATGTGAGTCGAAACGTTTGTAAATTTGAATAATATGTATATTTTTAATTTTTAATTATTGTAAATTTTTAGCACAAAAAAATAGTATTTAAAAATAAAAATAAGAAGAAGGAGCATATACCACACGCTGGTTAAAAGTAGCGAAGATTTCGTATATTTAATACTACTAAATTTACATAATTATAATAAACGTTTCGGTCATTAATGTGACCATCTTCAGTATACAAAAATTTATAATTTAATTCACTAATATATTATAAATGAAACTAAGTGCTAGAGCACAACTTTTCGCATGTTTGTCAATTATTCTATACTATAAGATATTAAACAGTTATAATTTGTCAAAATATAAAAGTCAATTCGCAATAAAATGGTGTCAAAATTAAAAAGTGATTCGCATAACGTAACAGTATACAATATAATTTTCTTCATGTCATTACAATTCAGATGATGAGTTTGTTAAAGTATTGGCATCATTGATTTCTCAAATCACAGTTGATGCCAATACTTTAACAAACTCATCATCTGAATTGTAATGACATGAAGAAAATTATATTGTATACTGTTACGTTATGCGAATCACTTTTTAATTTTGACACCATTTTATTGCGAATTGACTTTTATATTTTGACAAATTATAACTGTTTAATATCTTATAGTATAGAATAATTGACAAACATGCGAAAAGTTGTGCTCTAGCACTTAGTTTCATTTATAATATATTAGTGAATTAAATTATAAATTTTTGTATACTGAAGATGGTCACATTAATGACCGAAACGTTTATTATAATTATGTAAATTTAGTAGTATTAAATATACGAAATCTTCGCTACTTTTAACCAGCGTGTGGTATATGCTCCTTCTTCTTATTTTTATTTTTAACTCAACCACTTGATCTTAAAATAGTATTTGTCAAAAACTTAAAGTTTATTATTTTTATATTCCTCTATCTCATAAGGCATAATTAAATTTTTATAATACAATGTACTCTAAAAGTAAAATATAAAAAATAAAAAATTTTTAAGATGTTCTCTCTGATCAGCCTTTTACATATTTTTAAATCCTTTATTTACTTAAGGATTAAATAAGACATAATATATACGGTACATATATGTATGTAGAAAGAGAAATTAAAATTATTGTTATGACGCATAATTTAATAAAATAGTATTAAAAAAGCAAATAAGTTTCCTTACCTTTGGATGTGTTCTCCTAGGAAATGCTACCTTTGGGTCGATCTAAAACAAAAAACCGTTGAAAATTACATAAGCTACTAAAACGTAATTAATACAGAAAAATGTCATGAAGTAACATATATAAAAATTTATACATAGCAACTTGTTTAAGTTTCTCGATGATAAATCTCAAACTGTCTCGAAAGCTCTGAGTTCCGCTGAGGATATAACCACGAAAAGAACATTATGCGCCACATGCGAATTCAAACTCGGAGACAAATCTTGTTCGCCTGCAAGTTTTGTGGGAGGAAGGGTGAGGCAAAGAGAAGAAACAAATATGAAAATACGGCAAACAGAAGAAACAATATGAAAATAGGTATTACACGCAAACGCAGTGGGAAAACGCGCAAAAGAGAAGAAACAAGAATAAGCGAACAAAAGGGGAAGCTCTCGGAGGACTGTTTTCCCAGTTGAAAGCCCCATTACAATTAATTACATAGTAATAAAGAGTAGGTGCTCGAGAACTCTGAACCGACTAACCGAAACCTCGGCTCCTGCCGCCACTGCTGCTACCTTTTTTCACTTCGTGGACGATCCCGAGGGGAATGAACAAACCTACTAAGTTGAACATAAGAGCACCTTACGTTCTGCGCTTTCTAAAAAGGTTGAAATCGTCCTGACCGCTTACGAAACCATAGAATTTCCAGTGCGATGGTCGCATAAATTCTGACGTAGCGAATCGGTCCACTTAGACGCGCGTTTTGTTTCTTCAAGACTGATATTGGCGAGTCTTTAAAACTAATATTTTTCTGATATTTGAAGTGTATAAAATGGATGAGTTTGATAATCGTAAAAATATCATACAAATTTTAATTAAATTTATATTATAGGTATATTATTAATTACATTATATTATTGCGCATCATTGTATGAGACTTGCATTATTTACAAGTATTATGAGATAACAACATCATGAATATTAAGCTCATGGAAATCCGCAAGAGTATTTATTGTTAATACTAGAATCTCTGAAAATACCATCCTGCTACTTAAACGCAGTTTAAGTAGGTTCAGCTGATTCCGCCAGTTGTTCTAATGCTAAATGAAACAACGTTTCTTCTCTCTCTTTCTCTCTCTCTCTCTCTCTCTCTCTCTCTCTCTCTCTCTCTCTCTCTCTCCCTCTCTTCCTCCCTTTTCGCATTCTCATTGCTAAACGTTACTATTTAGTTTGGAATTTCACCATGTTGTCATCGTTTTGCCAACTAGAAAACTATTTCGAGTTATAATGAAAAGGCTCTTTCTAAACGTAAAATACATTTACAGCAAAAAAAATTAATAAATACACTGCAGACATTCAACAAAAATATTAATAAATTAAATATAAAGGATTCTGATTTATCGATGTATTATTAATGCAAATAAGTTTTTATTGTTATATATACAGAGTTTTACGCGTATACAAAACACTCTACTTTAAATCAACAATTCAACAGCAGCGTGGTAATTCCCTAGAAATTCTCAAAATGGCCCCCTACCCCACTACAGTTCGTGGAAACTTACTCATGCGCGCAAACTATAAAATTTTGATTCCTCTCTGTTTTACATCTGACATTTTCAACGATCGCAATGTCGATTAAATATTATTGGATTAGCGTGTGCTTCTGCCCGTGCTTGTAATTAGCTTTAAGAGCGTCATTGACGTGCTATAAAAAGCGAGGTATAGTCTGTGAAACCGAGGAAACGCGAGTTTTTACAATTCTCTAGCGCCAGGCTTCCTCGAAACAGAGAGCGACCGACACCCCGGGCGGTGGAAGCCACAAACGTGATAATGACAAGCAAGAGAACCCGCCGCCGCCATCACCACCACCAGGTACCGTCACCGTCATCATGCACCCCTACATAACACAGCGGTTCTCTCTACCTATCTCTCTTCCCATACTCAGAAACCACTCCCGTTTGCATAATCCCCTACGGCGAAGTTCACACTGGTCGCTCGCACACTCCCGGACAAGAGAGGTGTCTCGACGTCGTCGTTGTCGTTGTCGTCGACGACGACGAGAGACGTGAGACGAGAGAAAGTCTTCCCGTCGTTCTTTCGCTTTAGTAATACCTCTTCTTCTGATCTCGTCTTCCGATATAAAGGAAAAGCAGGCGGGGGGGGGGGGGGGGGGGGGG